TATATCTGTAACCACTCCTTCATTACTGAAAAAATTATTGCTTTTATATAACAATATGTCTATAAATAAAATATAGCATTTGCTTAAGGATTATATCAAACCTTTTATCTAAAGTCGACAACTTTTGCTGTAAATCATTGATATCTTCGGCCATTGTCTGCATTGAATCTCCAGATGTGTTGATCTGTGCCCTCAATGTTTTCATTTCGCACTCATTACTCGCTTTCATGGCTGACATCTGTTCACTAATAATAATGGTATTCACAGATAAATCACATAAATCTGTGACCACTTCTTGATTACTGAGAAAGTAATGTGTGTTTCAATAAAATATAGCATTTGTTTATTAATTATATCAAACCTATTATCACAAGTCGACAATTTTTGATTCAAATCATTAATCTCTTGAGCCATTGTCTGCATTGAATCCATGACTGACTTGAGCTGTGCTTTCAATGCCTTCACTTCGGACTCATTGCTTGCCTTCAGAGCCGACATCTCTTCACACAATTCACGACACTTTCGGTTCGACTCTTCACTCAGACTATAGTTTTGAACAAACATTTTATTATTAGTTCACACATCAAACTTCCCCTGAAATACATACCCCGATGAATGATGATTGCGAATCAGATCACATCTCGGACTAATAAAAATATCATAATCAGCTCGTCGGAATATTAATTCATCAGGACACAATATGGCGCTGGAATTGTGACTATGTATATATTGAAGCAAAACCATCTCGGTGTCGGCATTGTATAGACAATTAGCCTGTAGTAAACATTTGAGATCTTTGATTGTGACCACATGTGATGGTACGGCAACTTTCATTGGCACAACATTACGATCATCATGATATTTTATATTCAAATATGCATGTTTGTTTGACATTTTAAATATTATTAATATAATGCTAATTAAAAAAATATAATTTTAATTATTAGTTATGTTGAGTACACTGTTATACACAAGATATGGGAGTATACAAGTGGTCATTGTATATGAGGTGTGTTTTAATAGACAATAAATGGCTGACAATTGCCACTAAAGTAATGGCAAATATTTTGTTAAACATTTATACAAAAGAATTAAGAAATGGATGAAATTATTTAAATTTATTGATTGATAAGAGATTATGATTAATCACATGATAAATATATAAAATTTAGATATAAGACCTTGATTAACTGATTTAAAATTATTATAGACTCAATCATATTATTGGGTTTCAATATCTCTAATATGATTAACATTTTATCAAACGATAGGAATGTTTATCCCTTTCTATCCATTCGTTTGCATTCAATACCCGTTCAGTCGTTGACAACACTTAACGGAGGAAACAATGAAAACATTAAAGATTTAATATTTTGTATACAATTTATAATAAATTCATTTACAAAATGTGTTCAAAATTAATGAGTGTTTCGTTGATTGAAATGAAG